TCTGCATAATTTGTCTTTTTTGATGCAACACCAGAAAGAGGGCTGATTTTAGATTAAAACGTCACCCGATGAAGGCTTTTGGTGGTGTGTCATTGTCATGCGATGGATGCTCTCGGGTTAAACTGACCAGTAGTTTAAGCGACGAGGTCAGTTGCTGCCTTCATGTTCGATCCTGCTGGTATTTTGATAATTTAGTCTCTCATTGTTTGGTTAGTTTTGAAGGCATGCGTTGGATAGTCGACGAACAAAAATGGTCCAAAGTTCATCATGCCACTTGTTAGTATTGACGCACCGTCAGACTTGCCAGGATCAGTTGGATCTTTAAGCGGACGCTCACTGTCATTGAGTGCCTCTTGGGTCTCCTCTATCCGACGTAGTTCCAAGCTGTGTCATTTTAAATGACAATTTGATCATCAATTTGATCAATGTTTTGCGTCTTCGATGCCTCACCACTAGTCACTATAACTTACTTCTCCGGGGCTCTGTTCTTTCAGAGTTTTTGCAGCTACATTCGCAACACCAAACCACGCAATTTGATCCCTTCCTCTACACGTAGGGACTAGGCTTTGAAGAATTTTCACTTTTTAAGGTTCTTGTTGGTGTAACAAAAATGGTTTTACGATTGCTTCTTGTTCGTGTCCTTTATAAGAACGTCTAAAGGTGTTGTATGGGGTAGTGCTGTGCTCCACTTTACTCAACTTCATCTCCAATTTTGATTGGTTTGAGGGGTTTGCATTGTTTTCCATAGCGAAACCGGCATTGCAAACGGCTCCATCACGTCTGTCCTGTGGCACGGATTGTAATGAAGAGCCCTTCGAAGTACAATGCATCCCAACAGCCGATGTGGTGAATCAGTGGGAAAATCTCAACATTATAAAACAACAAGGCTGGGTTTTGGCAAGAACTTTTCTCGTAGAAAAGGTTATGAACGATCCCGATCTGGCCCGATACTTTAGTTTCGACCCCGTCAAACCGGTGAGTTCTTGAGTAAAAAAGGAAAGGTTTCCTTTTTGACACTATTTCCTGCTTCTGGTGCATTTAATTTGAGTTTTGCAAGTCTACGAGGCTCCTCTAATCACAGTAAACGTAGACATCGTCAACTAATTGGTTCGGCACTTCATTTCACACTGATTTTAAGCCTCCCATTAACACTTGCTGCTCCAGCGACAGTACCGAAGGTGTCCATCGATAACTTTGCGAGAGTAGCCTGGGGGAGAGAGAGAGAGCCTCTGAAAGGACTTTGCAATTTCGGGCCAATTTAACATGGCCTTGATGGCAATTGCTCACCATCAGATGTCCTCTCCACGACGAAGACAAGACTTCCCATTTGTACATTCAACTCCACTATACCCTTGTCCACATGCGCGAGGCTGTTGGCGCCATGAGTACCGATATGTGCTAACCATGAA